TAGCTACGTGCGGGTTTCGGGGTTTTGCGTGAAAGCGTGTTTTTTTTTTTTTCACTGGAGTCTGAGGCTGAGATTTTCTTTCGGTTAAAGTGAGTGCGTGTTTGCATGAGTGGAAAGTCCTCACGCTCGGTTACGGGTACTTCTTGTACCGGGATGTCGAGTAAGAGGCCCGACGGCGGAGGTACCGATATTTTTCTCGGTCTCCCCCGCTGATCGGAGGGCATCTTCACAGTCTGTTTTTTCAGGCGGTGTTTTACCCGATTTTACCGGCTGCAGCGAGGCTGTGCTCCTGGAGGCTTTCCTCCTATGGGGCCCGTTGCGGGTCTCTTTGTGGACCCTTCCTCGCACGGCGCCGGGTTTGCCTCCGAGTTGAGGGAGTTGGCAATTGCGTCCCTGGCAGGCCGGGTAGATCAGATGCAGTCGGAGCGAGCTGTCTCCACTGTGTCCCCTCGGTGGGCAAGCAGGAAGAGACACGAAAGCATGTTTGCATTCAAACACGTCTCTTCCGGGGAAACCCCGTTCCCAGGCACGGCTCTCCCACGATTTTGGGGGGTGGCCGAGGCTCAGGCTAATTGCACCGGTCCTTCTCTGGATCCTCGGGCACTGAATGCCAACAGGGTGCTGGCAGCCAAGTCTCCGATCTCTGGGCAGGGCTTTCAGGGCAGGGCACACGATGACCCCCCCTACTTTCAGCCAGCTAGGGTTCGTCACGCAGTAACGGTACAACGGTAACGAATTTTTCCTTGTGTCTGGTCCCCGCTGTGGGTTTTGACTCCTTTCTTACCGATCCATGGGCGTCCCCAGAGGAAACCGACCCTGTCATGAGACGCACAGTTGAACACGCTCCCTGTCACATATTTAAAGTGAAAGGAGATGCAGTTCGCTCGCGTCGGATACAGCCGGTACTCCGGGCGGTCCCTCAGAGTCTTCCATCTATATGACTCGGTGCGCCACGCTTTTGGAGTGAGGCGGAGTATCATCGATCCCAGTGATACGATGTATATACCCCCACCCTTGATCCTAGAGCGACCACCTAAGGTTGCTTCAATGCTTATTGGATCACAGGCGTCGGGATCCAAAGCAACCCTGTCGGCAAGTCTCTCCCTGTCCGCCTGAGTGCGGAGTGGGGTGCAGAGCACGCAAAACGGTGTTGATGGGCGGCATTGGTCAGCCGCGGAGGATGTAATGCTTAGGCCCCGAGTGGGGATAACAGGCAACACTTCCCACTGGACCAAACGCTACCCGGACGGTGTGGTTTCGGGATCAGAACCCATAGCATGGGATGAGACCAAAACGCCCCCAACCGGATTCTAAGGCTCCTTCCCCAGACCCCGGTACCATGAATTTGGCAAACCGGGCAAAGGGGGATAGCCGCGTTCCATGGGTGTCTTTGCCAATTAAAGACGACCCATCCAGCCCTGAGGGCAGAGTTGCTTGAGCTCATTATTATGCGTGACCCAGCATTCTGGAGACCTTGGAGGCAGAATGCACCAGCCTCCTAGACCAGGTGACATTTTTACTGGTGGGTCACCGCACATCTAGCATGCGACACCCCCTAGTGTCGCCTGGCTCTCTTGGCCAGGGCCACTACCGTGCTACTGGACGCACATGTTTTTGCCGACAAGCTGAGCCAGGGTACGTCCCCCACCTCAGTGACGTAGCTGGACATCCTCCACCCTCTTTGTTCAGGGAATGGTGGGTACAGTCTCGGAGCTTACGGAGTGCAATGAACCAGAGGGTTCAGATCGAATCCGCTAGCCAGTTGGTCCTGCCATGGGCAAACGAAGGGCACCCCAAGCACAGAATACACAACGCCCTAGGGCGTCGTCCGCTAGCCAGAGTCAGCCAGGAGGCAAGCGCTTATACCCTTCCATGGGAGGGGAGGGTAGTGGCGCGCCCCCAGGGAGGTAAGAGCCAGGTGGTGGCTTCTCACCCTCCCTGGGCGGACGTCTACCCGGCAGCAGGGGAGGCATGTTTGACGCTCACCTCTGCAACGGGGGGGGGGGGGGACAGGCACGTGTTTGGTGAATGGCTAGGTCACAACTTAGTGACTACTTCAGGCCTTGGGGAACTCACCTCATGGGGGAAGGGAGCACCCCCCCCTCACAACTGCCGAACACATGGCCACATATCCCTGTCGAACACAGATTGCGCCGGTTTGGAGACGGGGATGACCGATCCCTGGACCTTTCCAGGTGGTGACATCCGTTTACGAGATACCGCTGAAATCTCCATTTCCCCCCATCAGTGTCCCCCCTGTTGGGCATGCCAGGGTGAT